GCTCTAACACTGTCAATGTGAACCATGGACAATTTTGCTCTTTTTTGTTCATTCAGAATGATAGTTCATACTACCTGAAGATTAAATAATTGACAAAGATATGTACACTTTACTGTGGTAATTTCTAATTTTAATCTGGTCTTGAATAGGTAGCCTAGTTAATCTTTCTTGGGGTGCATGTGTTGTCTATAGACTTTTGTGGTTGAAAAATCTTTGTACATCAAGAGCACAGAATATACTTAGGTATATCTATAGGAACAACTGCTTGAGATTCATCACAGAAGTTGCAAAGACATTACATTCTCTTAATTGGACATAGACTAATTGCAAGCTGAATGTGTATACCAGTGGAGCTCGGGAAACGCTTTTTCCCGCGATGTTCGAACGTGCTCGACAAGATCATGGATGATGAAACTGATCCGGTTTCCCTCGGAAGAGACACGTCCGCGGAGAAGAGGAAGAGGTTTCATGACCTGCAGGATGTTCTTCAGAAGGCATTCCACGAGGACAAGGAGGAGAATGACAGGTCGGGGCTCTCGTCGTCGTCGTCATCGACATCGATCGGGGCCATTCGACCAAGGAGATGAACACCATTGCTCCCAAATAGTTGCCATATTGATAGCTAACTGTCCTCCTGGAGCTACTCACCTGATGGTTGCCTTCTGTCAATTGCCCCCCAAATATATTCTCAATGGTTTAGGCTTGTACAGTATTAGTTCTTACAGCTATTGCCCCGTCAATTGTGAAACGCAGAAGTTTCACTAGTGCTTGTACTCGAGGTGTAATACAAGTGCTTGAATTTTGAGTTGTACTTGGAATTTCCAGTGGTTTGCTCGTAAAAATGAGATGATTTCTTGGCTCCCAAATCTGATAGACTGATGAAATAGACTCTCTGCTTGCTAGTGGTCACCAGAGATGGCTGAAGGCCACTGAAGCATCTACTCTACCAGATATGCACTAAAAACTACACTGTACTTGTTACATCTGGATGAAGCAGTAGAACAGTAAACTCATCTCTTTACTGTTCCCTCTGCCATGTCGAGTGGTAAAAATACAAAATTACATGATGGATCAAACTCTGTTCTTTACTGCTCTCTGTTTCAAGTTTCAACTACTACCAAACTGTGGCCAAATGCCGTTAATGCGAGGCAAGGACCTCCTCCTGAATACTGAATGCAGCAGCTAGCAGACGAATGCAGCATAGGAACTCCAAAAAGCTTGAGCCCTTTTTCCTAAATCAGCTCCAATCCTGGCGCGTAGGAGGAGTAGCCTTTTGGCGCGCAACCAGGGTCCATCGCATTTGCATGCGTTGGTGTCAACCACCTGGAAATTGCACTGATCGTCGCCATTGCAGCAGCAAGAAGGCAAGGAAACCTCATCCAAGAAATCTCTGAATTCTGAAGAGCTCTAGTTTCTGAAGAGTTCAGACTTCATAGTAGTAGTAGTAGGTAGCTGAAAGAATTCAGCAGAGGGTGGAAGTGCAAGTGCGGCTCCGCCATGTTCGATCCATGAGGATTCTAGCTGATGCTCATCTCTCTCTTTCTCTCTGCATTCGCCTTTGATCTCCAGGCTGCTCTCCTCAACGATCCTGTTTGTAGTTTAAAAAAGAAAAAAAAAAGAAAAGAAAACACCCTGTTTGTTGTAGTACGTGGGCCACCTGGTCCAGCACTGTACGCAGTTGCTCTCAAGAAAGCATCTTGGCCCGGCCCAATCATACTGCGGCCCGCTAGGCCTCTCATTGTCCTGTGTACTTGCTGACTCCTAATCATGGACTCATATATGGTCATGGTTTCGTAACTTCACTATTGGGGTTTTAAATATCGGTGACGTGGTTGTACTTCACCATTGCATAATGTAACTTAGGGCTTGTAGATTTATCCTTAATCTCCGTTTTATTTTCGTTGTAGGTGTGTTAGGAGGCGTACTCGTTTGCGACAGACATTTGTAATAAAAAAACACCCAATCAGCATTATCCTTGATAAACTACCAATGTTAATAATTCAGAGTTGGGTGCTTGACACTGACAAGCAGTACTAGAGATAGAGGGGCAGACAGGCTCAACTTTCAAATTACTACTCCTACCTGCTGCTCCTGATTATCTGATCCTAAACAATCTTTCTGGCATTTTGTTTTGGCAGGGTGCACCAATTTGGGATAAAAGCTGATCCATTGTTTCAAATCTCAAGATTCTCTTTACTGCATGCAAATAGCAGGAAACATATTCCTCTCTTTTAACCTTTCTTGCATGATGCCCTTCTCCTTTGAATTAATGGATCAATGCCCCCTTTTCTCTTTTTGAGGCACCAAACACTTTGTCACTCACTCATGTCTGACTCCATTTGCTGGTCTTCCCTCTCTCTTTTCAAATTGGTAGACCATTTTAAACAAGTTTGAACTGATGATCTGCACATGCAAGTAGGGAGCAAATATGCCATAGGCATCAGGGTGGAGTACAATAAGGGCCTCTTCACTGTACTACTGTACCAATCTTGCAGGAACTAGCCAGTGTAGATCTTTTAGATTACTAGTGGTAGTAGTAGTGTACTAGTTCAAACTAAGAGCTTAATCCTACATTGCTCCATTAATAAACTAAGAGAGTGTTTGAGAAGAAGGGGATTGAGGAGATTGGGAAGATACGCAAAACGAGGTGAGCCATTAGCTCATGATTAATTGAGTATTAACTATTTTAAATTCCAAAAATGGATTAATATGATTTTTTAAAGCAACTTTCCTATTGAAATTTTTTGCAAAAAACGCACCGTTTAATAGTTTGAAAAGCGCGCGCGCGGAAAACGAGAGCCAATCTCCCCTATCACCCCTAAACGAACGATGCCTAAGATAAGCTTTGCAGATGATGGGCCCATGATGCCCAAATGATGCCAAGAAAGTGTAGCAGATGGGAAGGATATCAGGCTACCAGCCAAGGGAGCCAAGTGGCTTGTAATGAAGACTTTTTTTGTGCATTTGGTTGGAAGTACATGCTTTTTAGCCCTGCACAAGCCAGGTTTTTGTGAAGGATTGATAGTGTGTCGGACCCTCAAAGTCGGATTTGTGTTCCTTTATTATTATTTTTTGGAATATTCCTCTCTACCTCTAGCAAGTCAGGGTTTGTGTATGGTTCTCTGATGGTTTTGTGATGATGGTTAGTACTTTTGAGTGTGAATTTTTTGGTAGTAATGTGTTAGATTTCAGCTATTTTTTCCTCGAATAATTGTCATTGTTGATTATGGTTGTCTCAATTTAACCATATTTACTTTTAAATGACTATGTTGTAATTAACGAAAAACAAGTGACAACACATTTAGGTAGTTTTACATATTTTCAACTATTTACAATGTTTTTTTAAAAAAAATACAAGTGGTTACGTTTAAACATGAATAGTGTCAGTGTCAATTATTGAAAGGAGTACTACTCCCTCTATTTCAGGTTATAACACATTTTGACTTTGGTCAAAGTCAAACTCCTTTTAAGTTTGTAGAAAAAAATAGTAACATTTTCAACCCAAGACAAATTTATTATGAAAATATATTCAATTATTGATTTGATGAAACTAATTTAGTATTATAAATATTACTATATTTGTTTATAAACTTAGTTAAATTTGAAACAGTTTGACTTTAACCAAAGTCAAAACGTCTTATAACCTAAAACTGAGGAAGTAGTAATCTAGCTCAGATGAATATTGTTGAGGCATGCATAAATATGTTTGGCTCTACTCCAATAGCCATAAATATGCTTTGAAATACTAAACCACACTACTCCTTCAAGCTAATAATATTTGTTGTTTTTAACAAGATCGATGTCAAACTTTAAAATATTTAACTATAAATAATATCTAAATTTATTTGTCTTAGTAATATGGAGACCATATGTATAGATTAGTCTTAATAAGTACTTCAATAAAATCATTTGTTGATATTTCTATATATATTTTAATAAAAAAAGTAGTGGTCAAATTTTTTTTAGACTGTGCCCTTGTCAAAATGCCTGGAAGGAGTAATACACACCATAAATACTGGCCCAATCCTTTCTACTCCATCCAATTATTGGCATGGATTATATACCCTTTTAAAATATGTTTTGTCATAAAACTCTTCTATTGCGTTATCTAGACCAATTGTAGTTGTTTAGTTTATTTCTTAGAATATTAAAATTTATCCCAATGATCAACTGTGATAATAAATCCCATGAATAATCTGTTTCAAACGGGGATACATGTTTGATTTATCCCTATGATTAATCCATTTTGTAATGCACTAGGAAAAGGCCATAGAAAAGATACAAAAAGACCCAAACAGCTCCATAGCAATGTTACATCAATCATCCACAGTTGCCAGTGTGGCTAGTATATCCATCAATCAGCCCCCCAAATGTTCCAAATCATATCCTATGTGCATGTTTAGATCCCATGGCAATTTTTTTCACCCTATCACATCGAATGCTTGGACACATGCATAGAGTATTAAATATAGATAAAAAAAAACTAATTACACAGATTACGTATAAAATTGTGAGACGAATCTTTTAAGCTTAATTGTTCCATGATTTGACAATGTGGTGCAACAGTAAACATTTGCGAATGATGGATTAATTAGGCTTAATAAATTCGTCTCGTAGTTTACAGTCGAAATCTATAATTTGTTTTGTTATTAGAATACGTTTAATATTTCAAATGTATATCCATATATCCGATGTGACACAAAGAATAAATTTTCATCGTGGATCAAATCACAGCCTATATCTCCATGCACCATAGTAGGATATGGTCACTCAGTCACAGGTCACACAAGAACAAACTGGAAAGGTGAAACAAACCACTTGACCACCCAGATGCAAGGGTCCCCCAAACCATTGTTAAGCTTGTTGCACTCTTCACTCAAAGCCAGAAAAGCTGACCAGATGAAGCAGTCTACTCTACTCCACTGACCAAAAACCGCCAATCCAGCTTTTCTTCTCCCTGCACTCACACACATCTCACTTGTGGTGGCTGGCTTTCGCAAGAACCCAGAAAAGGAGGCAAGCAGGCAGCGAGAGCTCCTCTCCTCTCTGTCTCTTCTTCTCGCTGCTCCCAATGCCGATGCAGCGAAACGCCATGAATTTTTCGGGACCAAAATAAAAAGAACACACCCCACATTCAGAGAAAGAAAGAGAGAGAGAGAGAGAGTAGGAGTAGTATGTGAGAGCTCCAATGAATGTGTCACAGATGTCCATCAGAGTATCAGACCCAAGAACAAAGACAAAAGGATTAAAAAAAATAGAGTAGCCATAGTAAAAAGAGGATCCAATGCAATGCAATGTGATGTGAAGTTTTACCCGGGAAGTTTTTACATAGGATCCTTCTTGTGCTTCCAAGTTTTTTCCACCCGTGTTTTTGGGCGTCGCTTCTTGAAAGGATACATTTTATCTGTAGCGGTTTTTCACTGGTTGCTTCTTGAAAGTATTTGTCGAGTAGTAGCAGTATTCATTTGTGTGATTAATTAGTGGTGAGTAAACAGTGGTGGTGAGCAGCTCTCTCTCTCTCTCTCTCTCTCTCTGCTGTGGCTTTTGCATCGCATGCATGCGTGCTTTGCCTGGCTGGTTGCCTCTGCTCTGCTCTCCCTCCATTTCGAATTTCAAATTCACAGCCACCTCCGCTCCCCCAACGCCTAGTTTTTTTTTCCTCTCCTCTTCCCTGCAAAGCCAAAGCCCTCGCACGCGTGCCTGCCTCTTCTGTGTCTCTCTGCGACAGCCATCGCCACCGACTTCTTCGTCTTCCTCGTTGGTCTCCTCTCTCTCTCTGTGTTCTTGGTGTTCCCTGTGCTGTTCTTGGGCAAGAAGAAGAAGGAGAGCAGATGGGAGGGTCAGGGAAGTGGGTCAAGTCGCTCATAGGGCTCAAGAAGCCTGACAGGGAGGATTGCAAGGTGAGAGATGGGTGTTCTTGCATCCTTGACATTGGAAAAAATAGATTCGGTTTTCACAAGCTCTTTGTTTCTCTCTCTCTTTTTTTCTTGTGTTAATTTCGATTTGTAAGCTTGTAATGATAAGTAGTACTTGTTTGCATAAACTTATTGGAGTTGGGTTATTGTACTTTCCCCAAAGAGAGGAGTACATCTAAGATTTGGTTAATTGTTGCACTCCCTTAAGGGGCATGAACTTGTATGCCTGAAATGTGCTTCCTTTCTTTTGCTAGTACTTGTCCAAGATTCAACCTCAAGTGTACTCTCCTTATTGAGGAATAAAGTTAATGATGTACTACAATACCATGTTTAGTTTCAAACCTGAAGTGTATGATTCATCTGGTCAAACTCCTGCTTTGACCAGTTTTTGACCTTTAGTGTTCATTCATGCCAAAGCCCCAATCTTTTTTCATTGGGTATTTCTCTTGGAATCTCAAGAAGTTCAGATGAAAGCAGCAAATTTTGATGTGTTTTTTTCCTTTTTTTGATGGGATAGGAGAAGCTGCAAGTTCCATCGGTCAATGGCAGAGGAGGAGGCAAGGGGAGGAAGTGGAAGCTGTGGAGGAGCTCCTCCGGCGACCACGGCTCGCTATGGCGGGGCTCGAGGGGCGGCGGCGGCGGCGGCGGCCACCACCGCTCCGCGTCGTCGGACGCCTCCGACGACGCCTCCTCCGCCGCCGCCGACCCCTTCACCGCCGCCGTCGCCACCGTCGCCCGCGCACCGGCCAAGGACTTCATGGCCGTCCGCCAAGAGTGGGCCGCCATCCGCGTCCAGACCGCCTTCCGCGGCTTCCTGGTAAAACCTCACCTCGCCGGAGACCTCGTCGGAGCTCTCCTGCCATCTGGGATTTGATTTGGATTGGATTTGTTCGCAGGCGAGGCGGGCGCTGCGGGCGCTGAAGGGGCTGGTGCGGCTGCAGGCGATCGTGCGGGGGCGGCAGGTGAGGAAGCAGGCGGCGGTGACGCTGCGGTGCATGCAGGCGCTGGTCCGGGTGCAGGCGCGCATCCGCGCTCGCCGCGTGCGCATGTCCACCGAGGGCCAGGCCGTGCAGAAGCTGCTCGAGGCTCGCCGCACCAAGCTCGACATCCTCCGGGAAGCCGAGGTGAACCAGCCCTGACTGATTGCTTCTTTTGGGATGGGATTTGATGAACAATGCAGCGTATTCATGGGGGATTTTGTGTTCATCTGTGTTGTTGTTGTTGTTGTTTCAGGAAGGATGGTGTGATAGCCAGGGAACATTGGAGGATGTGAGAGTGAAGCTTCAGAAGCGTCAGGAAGGCGCGATCAAGCGTGAACGAGCTATCGCGTATGCGTATTCGCAGCAGATCGAAGGCGCTACGAAATGCAATGTATGACTGAATTCCTTGCAGAAATTCTGTGGCAGTAGTTGTGATCTGAATTTTTGCTTTGAACTGCATTCTATTGCAGCAGTTGTGTCCTGAATTTTTGTTTTGAACTGCATTCTATTGCAGTAGTTATGATCTGAATTTGTGTTATTTCAACTGCAGTTTTGGACTGAATGTGTAATCTTTCTTGTCTTTGCTCAGCAGCAACCGAAGCCTACTTCTTATGGTCGGCTGAACCAGTCTGGAATGTTGCTTAAGCACCAACATTTCGACAAGAGCAATGGCAACTGGAGCTGGCTGGAGAGGTGGATGGCGGCGAGGCCTTGGGAGAACAGGCTGATGGAGGAGCACAACCAGACCAACTCCAGCTCGCCGGACCTCCTGTCCTCCAAGAACTGCGAGGATTCATTCGGCATTCTTGGGGACTTCTCCGAACCAAATTCAGTGAAAGTGCGCAAGAACAATGTCAGCAAGAGGGTCTGCGCGAAACCGCCGGTAGTATCACACCACCAGCGCATCAAAGCTCAGTCGATCTCGTCTCTGAGCACTGAATTGCACAATGATGAGAGCTCGGCATCGTCATCGTCGTGCTTTGCTTCGACACCAATATCGTTCTCCACCTTTGTCACGACGGAGAAGACCGAGGACAGCATCAGGGCAAGGCCAAACTACATGAACATGACGGAGTCGATCAAGGCGAAGCGAAAGGCGTGTAATGCTCAAAGAACGACAGCAGGGAAACTGATGGAGGATAGGAAGGCCTCAGGTGTCGAGTTGAAGGTCGCTCAAGTTTGAATTTGCAATGTTCTTGGAGCTGTAAGCTGAGATGAAGCCAACTTCTACCTCTCTAGGGTGTTTGTTAGGTGGATTGCTCCATCCACAGGTTTTTCGATGTCTTGCTGCTGCATTCTTGAGTTGTGTCTGTGTCGCCAATCTCATGTTCAACATCTTGTTGTCGAGTCATCCCATTTTTGGGGATGTCCTCATTGTCAGTGGCAGTGTCTTTGTAAGATAGCTCTTTGATTGGGAAAAAAATGGTGTGGATTTGTTGCAGATTGTGAATTTCAGAGAAAGGGTGTCATTACCCATCTCACATGATCCTTTAGCACTTCTACCATACTGTACTACTCCTATACTGTGGTCTCAAGCAAGTTTCCAACTTCCAAAGCTGAAAACCAATGTGCTATTACAATGCAGTGGTTCTTAATCATTGACCATTAGGCATGGAGTTTTCTTGTTATTTAGGGTCCATTCTCTAAAATGACCAATTAGGTTGTGAGAAACTATGTTTATATTTTCTCTTGCCGACAGACACACCTAGCTGAACATGTAGGCTTACATGCCTACTACAGCTTAGGGTCAAATGACTAGAGACAAATGATTCTAAACTTGAACACCTGATGCTAAACTTAAGTACTAGTATAAGACAACAGAAATCCCAGATCACTTAAACAATGGTCGAAAGGCATTACATTTCAGCTTAGCGATTGCCAAGACCAAGAACGGGGCAGCATGAGACTGCAGCAGATGCTCGGTAACAACGTGCAGATCGCACGCTTTGAGAACTAATCTATGTCCTGTGTGCACTTTTAACAGGTATAAACTAATGGTTGGGCATTTAATGGCCTCAAATCAATGTAGAATCTGCTCAGAAAAATGACATGGTTAACCTTGTTTGACCTCCTTGAACTGCTGATGTCTCTGTAAACAGGAAAGATAGATAATCTCGGTCAAAGAACTGTGTTGTCCCACTGATGACAGAACAAAGCACCTAGCGATCTTAATGGCACATCATATGCTACTAGCATTTTAATAGCAGAGTAATCCGTAAAATACAAGTACACGCACAGTCTTATGTACTTTCTGTAATTAATTGTCACGAGAAGACACTGCTGTTTTCATGTAAGGTAAAAACTGAACTTTTCATCATCTGAGAACTGATGCACTTTCAGAGTTGAGAAAAGCTCAGTATGCATCATGGATCACTTTGTTACTATCGGCAGAGTTATGAAATATTGTGATCATATTTTGCAAAGTGGTTCACCCTTTTGATTTGCTTGAATTGCATGCTGGCCCTGAAATTGTCACTGCAATGATACTCAGTACTGAGTACTGACTGAGTGGGCAAACATTTTTATTGCTGTGCTGAATATGATTCCGGCTGCAACCATACTGAAAGTGCATTGATTGTGCTCGAGGTATCAGAATCTCATTGCGAACTTCAGGTCCATCAATGAGTGTATCCACTGGTCCGGACCAGGGTTTCCCTTGCCGCCGGTAACCGCGCGGTTACCGCGGTTACCAGGCTTACCGCGGGGTACGGTAATATAAATACCATGGTAACCTCCTTAAATTCAAATAAATTTTAAAAATAATTTGAATTTTTGATAAATTTTGCACGGTTTTGTACGGTTTTTCACGGTTACCACGGTTATCGCGCGGTAACCGTGCTTACCACCGGAGCGCGGTAACCCCGGCCCCGGAGGTTTGGGAAACCCTGGTCCGGACACACTGGCGCTCTGCCTCGTATAGTGGCATGTAGTAGTAGTAGTAGTAGTAGTAGTAGTAGTAGTAATATTCAGCTCAATTCAGGGGCTGTTTGGTTTCCAGGGACTTATTCTAAGTCCCTGTCACATCGGATGTTTGGACACTAATTTAGAGTATTAAACATACACTAATTACAAAACCCATTTCATAACATTGGACTAATTTGCGAGACGAATCTTTTGAGTCTAATTACGTCATAATTTTAACAATGTGATGCTACAGTAAACTTTTGATAATTATGGATTAATTAGGCTTAAAAAATTCGTCTCGCGGATTAGCTCTCATTTATGAAATTAGTTTTTTTATTAGTCTATGTTTAATACTCTAAATTAGCGTCCAAACATCCGATGTGACATGGGCTAAAAAATTTTAGCCCCATCTAAACACCCCCTCAGTCCATCAAAGTTCACTGAAAACTCCATTTTCAGCTAGTGCACAATCAATATTCAGCTCAAAACTCAGCTGTCAAAATGCTTCCTGCAACACAGAAACTTTACAAACATACACATCGCTTGAATAAACTGTTTCTCTTTTTTTTTTGCGGGGAAATAAACTGTTTCTCTGCAATGTTTCTGCAGAAAGAGCTTCTCTTTTTCTGAATTACTAGAACTGTAAACTGTTAAGTACTCCCTACACAGTCCAATGGAGCTGTTAGTTAAGTACAGTACTCCAAATTATCTCTTTTTACCGTGAGACAGCAACCTGATCCGCAGGTAGGAGTAACTTTTTCAAACTCGATCAGTTTTGAAAGTTGAAACTGGCAGCAGCAGCAGCGATGTCTCTCACGGAGGAACGACGCATTACATGCTGGAACAGTGAACACTAGAGGTAGCAGCAACCAGCAGCTAGCGAAGCGATACAGGTGGTCTCCTGTTGAGTCATTCATGAGAGTACTTACAACGACCCAGTGCAGTCAGAAAGCTGAAGCAAAACTTCTTCTATTCAATGATGAGGCATGACATGAATGCGGCCGCTCTGCTTGTTCATGTTCATGCCCGGATGATCCATGTCATGACGGCCAGCAATTCGTAATCGTATCCTTTGTTAAACATTAGTTGTGCTACGGTAGGTAGTACATCAACATGGTCCTAAATGTTCTTAAAAGAGATGTCATTTTAAGTAGTATTGGTTTTTTGAGTTCAGAGCTGTTGTGAAAGTTCAGTGTTTGTAAGATGATTTTATTTGTTTTCAAGTGTGTGAACATCACAACCACCCTCTTGTTCTAAACTAGTGTATCGTTCTACCAACGTCCAATCCTTTAGGACAAGAAGAGAACAAAATCTCACCGACGTTGCCTACAGTACAGTATTGTTGGAGAATCAGAAAATTCGCATATGTAGTAATTTAGGTTTGAGTAGGATTCGAACCATAAGAAACCATTTCGTCCATATGGTTTTAATACTGAACATGTAAGCTCAATGTGTGTTTTGATTCTTATTCTGTGATGAACAATTGTCATCTGTGATTATTGGTTTTGATATTTGGAGATTATCGTCGAAGTGGTTTTGGAGATAATCAATTTTCAGGTGATGATCAGATTCACTGTTATTTTATGTGACCGGTCCGACCGGGTGGAGGTTGCCGGTCAGACCGGCGCTATGTGTGCGGTCAGACCGGCCAGGCCCGCGGTCTGACCGGCCGACGCTGTGTCGGTTTCGGTTTCGGTTTCGGGTTGTTTCTTTGGATATCCGTGATTGTTTCATGGTTATGGCTTCTAGATGATACTATACGTATGTAATACTGTTGTTTGCTACTAAGAGAATAAAATATGAAAAAAATGAATACCAAATTCTTGGAAACAGTCTCGACGACGAGGACGTATTCGATGTGAGCAAAATAATGGGTGCCGAATCCCTGGAAACAGTCTTGACGACAGTGACGTACTCAGAATAAAAGAGAAAAATATGAGAAAAAGGCTCAAGAAAAAGAAAAAGTTAAAAATTTCTCTTGGTTGTTTTGTGCAAAAGGTTATTTGAGAAAGAGTGATAAATGCAATAGGTATATGTATTTAGTGTTTATTCTTCAACCTATGTGCTTGTTAAGATGTTGCATTATAAATCGTATGAAATCATGAATTTTGATTGTTGATTCAAGCTTAATTGTAAAATCTTTGGTTCATAGTTATACTTTAATGCATGCTTGTTCTGTTATAGATGGGTTCATCTTCTTTTTATTGCAACACATGACTTGATATGCTATATGTATGGTAAGCTCTTGAACACTAATGAACATAATTCCTATGCTTGATGAATTCATTGTCAAAAGGGGGAGAAGTAATGTGAAAATTTTTGGATTTTTGGGAAAAGCAAGTTGAATTTTTTAGAAGAGCATGTTTATGTTTTTGGTTCAATTGGGAATTTCTTTCTTTTAAAAAGGGGGAGAAGTTTTCTTTTGGATTTTTGAGCACGATGTGTACATTTGTATGAAGTGTGCTTTTTACCGATTTTGTTTTTATTTTTCCAAACACCAAAATATTTTTGATGAGGTTTGCCAATGTGTTCATCAAAGGGAAGATTGTAAGATCAATGTGTGTTTTGATTCTTATTCTGTGATGAACAATTGTCATTTGTGATTATTGGTTTTAATATTTGGAGATTATCGTCGAAGTGGTTTTGGAGATAATCAATTTTCAGGTGATGATCGGATTCACTGTTATTTTATGTGACCGGTCCGACCGGGTGGAGGTTGCCGGTCAGACCGGTGCTATGTGTGCGGTTAGACCGGCCAGGCCCGCGGTCTGACCGGCCGACGCTGTGTCGGTTTCGGTTTCGGGTTATTTCTTTGGATATCCGTGATTGTTTCATGGTTATGGCTTCTAGATGGATACTATACGTATGAAATACTGTTGTTTGCTACTAATGAGTCAAGTTGGAGATAGCTTGGTCTCGGAATATGGTTTATTTGTTTATTTCATGTGTAGGTGACTCGATGCCTCGAGAGAGTATTTGCGGTGATGGACCGGGAGTCGGTTTGGTGGTAAGACGATGTCCATGGTGGTCAGATATTATGCGGGATACTAAGGCTAGAGTTGATGCACGTGGTTGATGGAGATTCCATATGGCATACGATGGAGGTATTGTGTGCGTATGGGATGTGGAGTCGAATTTGGAAGGAGTCCAAATTTGGTATGATTGGTTATGTAAAGTTTGTATCTTGTAATAAAGGGTTTCTTAAGGTGTTTAGGACTCTTAGTATGAGTTTGGTTCGTGGCTTTAGGCTGCCTACCTCATGTATAAATAGAGGGGGAGCGTGAGACTTCGCAGTATCGCTTTTTGAGAGCAATTGAGTTGCTAGTTTAGTTAGGGTTTCAAGTTTAGTCGAGATTTTTGTAAGGAGTGCTGTTGGTGCACTTTGTAAACACAGAGAGAAGTAATAAAGTTGTCATCTACTTTGAGAGTTCTTCGATTTGTGTTTCACTGGGTTTTTGGCGGTCTAACCGGCGACTCACCGGCGGTCAGACCGGCTAGAGCGAGGCGGTCAAACCGGCGGCGACTTCACACGCGGTA